CTGTTGACCGCACCGATCTGGATGGAGTCTCAATCATTTGTGAGTCTATGAAACATACATATACATATATACATACACAGAACTATATATACCTATCTCTCTTTCTGTTTTCTTTTCGTCTATGTATCTATCCGTCCATCTATCTATATCTGTCTGCCTATCTAAGATAGGAAGAACTACGAAGCAGGCTCACTCGTGTTTGACTCAGACGGCTGCTCTTGTAAGTATGTATTATGTTCTCGATATTCATAGCGGTCGACATCATCGGCAGTAGCACACATATCACTCTTGATATTGGAGCCGTCATCCATGTTTCGAATATCCCAACCGGGCATGGTTTCACAATGATGTGACGGGCAATCCCATGATCACGATTGGGGTGGTTGTCAAAATTATGGTCCCTTTTGGGGTCCGTAATAGAATACGGCACCTGATATTTAGGGTATCCAAAAAGGGACCCTAATTTTGACAACCACCCATAGAGGATCCTAGGTCCCTCCTAGACCAGGCCCGCCAACCCCCAGCTGCGGACTGTAGCTGCAAGGGTCCTACTGCTGATGGACAAAATCCTGCATGACCTTATATACCTAAACTATGGGGTTTATGGTACTATACCATATTTGGGTCATGCAGGATTTTGTCCATCAACAGTATGGCTGCTAGCATGTGAACCTGCCATTGCTTTAAACCGTCAGACTCGAGTCACTAGTACAGTACTACAGGGGCTTGAATAATTCGCAAAAGTCTCCTGTTCGAGGTCCTGTAGTACAATATAGTATACTAAGATATAGCACAGCATAGTATGGTAGAGTATTGTAAGTCTGATCAATTCGTGTGAACATGCTTTAACATACCCAACCCTCGTCTGAACGTTAAGACCCTTATTTCATAGAACCCTGTCGTTTTCCCTGACATTAAGCCTTGTGGTTCCCCTCAATGGAATTCCGTTCTGGCTAGGAAAGCTCCTTTACTACCCCAGTGCTGGAGCTAAACCCTAAACCTAAACCCCAACCCTAAACCC